GGATGCATCGTGGGTAAACACGGCGTACGCCCTGATCCCGAAATGATGAAGGCGATCACCGACTGGCCAGTGCCAGTCGATGACAAGGGACTTCGTAAGATCCTTAGCTTAGCGGCGTACTTGCACACGTACTCGCCCAACGGTGCCGATATGACTGTTCATCTTTCTTGTTTACTCAAGAAAAATGTGAAGTGGGCATAGAACGCTGACTGTCAGCGTTTCTTTAAAGGTACTAAGTAAAGCTTGATGCAATCGCCCATGTTGGCGATTCCAGATCAGGACAGACCATTTCATGTGATCTGTGACGCCAGCGAATCAGCTATAGGCTGTGCGTTAATGCAATTTGATGCAGATGGCGCAGAACGCGTCATCTGTTATCAGTCGCGTCAGCTGCAAGCACATGAGCGCAATTACCCAGTGCATGACAAGAAATTCCTTGCCGTGAAGTACGCACTGGCTAAGTTTCGCGTCTATTTCTTGGGAGATAGACCGTTTGTTGTCTATACGGACCATGCGTCACTACGCACGGCCGTAAACAGCCCACACCTCTCGCAAAAGATGGCGAGGTGGATGTCTTTCTTCGCGGAGTATAACTTCTACGTGGAGTATAAACCGGGACGACTCAATGTCGTCGCTGATGCGCTTTCGCGCCGGCCCGATTTCGAGCCGAAAGCACAATCCAACAGTGAGGATAAGCCCACTGTTGCGACACTGTCAGTCAGTGTTTAGTCGTCAAGCTTACTTGACGACGTACGAAAGGCATACGCAGAAGATAAGGATCTCCTGCGATTAATGGATCATCTGTTGAATCCATCCAGTAAATCCATGAGGGATTTACCGGCTTTGTACCGATCCTCATCGGATCGGTATAGTACACGCAACGGGTTGCTGCATTATACAGCTGTTGACGACGACACGCCTCGTGTCGTCGTACCCGCTCATCATGACTTGCGTTTACGCATCATGTATGAGTGTCACGATGCCCGAACAGGCGGCCATCGTGGAAGGGAAAAGACTTACCTCACGGTAAGTCGTGACTTTTACTGGCCCCGCCAGTATCAGTTTGTACGCAAGTACATACTTGCTCGCGAAGTTTGTCAACGGGTGAAGCCTAGTCCTTCATCCCGTGCGCCTTTGCAGCCTCTGCCTGTTCCGACAGAGTGCTGGCAGTCTGTTTCAATGGACTTCGTCTTCGGTTTTCCCGAAGACGCTCACAAGAATACTGGTATTCTTGTGTTTGTTGACCGATTCAGCAAGATGGTCCATCTTGCTGCTGTCCCTGAGTCGATCAAGGCTCAAGGTTGTGCTCGTGTCTTTCTCGACACGGTCTTTAGACTCCACGAGTACCCCGTGAACTCGTATCCGACCGTGACCCTCGGTTCACGGCGGCATTTTGGCAATCCGTGTTCCGTTCTCTTGGAACGCGATTGAAGATGTCCACTTCTGACCATCCCGAAATAGATGGTCAGACGGAACGTGCGAACCGTGTCCTCGAAGAGATCCTTCGAGGATATGTCCACTCGTTTCCGAGTTGGAGCGAATTCCACCATGGGTAGGAATTCGCCATGGATAATTCGGTGCATGCTTCCACACAGCACACACCGTTTTACGTGAATAGTTTACGCCATCCACGTGTGCCCGCCCTTCTAGAGTGTGACTCTTGGATAAGAGGGGAAGGGATTGTTTGAGCAAAAACCGTTTTGGCTCTTACTCATCACGTGTCGACGCTAACGTCGTCACGTATGATGCCGATGTCGATCAGGTCGACATCGATGAAGAAGATCACCTCAATAATAGCGGCGACGCTATTATTGACTCGGATGATGATGACGATGCTGGTATATTCAGCATCGCCAACGATTATTCCAGCGAGGAAGAAGACAACCTCGCTGAAGAAGAGAGCAATCTCTTAGCAGTGCGCACGAAGCGCACCGAAAGACAAAACAACGAGTCAGCAGAGAACTTCCTGCTGACTCGAGAGGCGATAGTTCGTTTCGTTCAGGACTCCATCGCAAACGCGGTGGACCGTCAGAAACGGAACTCAGACAAGAATACAAGAGCAATGTTCTTTCATTTTGTGTTAACGACCTAGTACTACTGTCTACGGTAAACTTACCTGGACATGCAGTTACTTTTGTCGGCAGTTGTAAACTACTGCCGAAATACGTTGGGACTATATCGAGTGTTGCATCGCAAGGGCAATGCATACACGATCGAATTGCCATGTAAGATGCGCTCGCATCCTACGTTTTACGTGGGGAGGCTCAGGCCGTACTGCCAGTACGAGCCTTATTCTTCCGATGAAGATATCCCCCACGCTCAACAACCTCCATCAGGTTCTTGCGCTCGCGCTCCAGACGATCCGTCTGGTCGCGTAGATGAGAGACCTCAGAACTCAAAGAGAGATCTCTCCGCGAGCTGTCGCCAGCTCGCCAACGAGGAAGCGGACGTCGCGCTCGACCTGAAGCTGCGCAGTGGCATAATCGGCGCGATCCCTCGCCCGATCAGCCTCGTGATCCTTGTGTTTCTACCGCACGGTACCAGTCAAAGCGTAGCGCCGGTCGCGCTCGTGCTTCAAGTCATCGCGCAATTCATCGATTGCGCGATCCATCTCGTAAGGGTCGAGATGGTGAACCGAATCATCTGGAGGAGGTCTTTCCTCCTCCACCACATCCTTTGGTGGAATCTCACGATGATCAACGCTTTCTAGTGGAGCGTATCTTGAATCACCGTGACGATTCAGGATCAAGGACGAGCTACCTCGTCCAGTGGCGGGGGTATCGACCCTCTTGGAACAGCTGGGAGCCCCGCTCTCAGCTGTTGATGGATGTTGAAGGTCTCGTCCGCCAGTATGACGAGACCCATCCGATGAGTCCTGTGGCCCATCGGTAAACACGCGCCCTAGGCGCTTGTAGACGGATTGCAAGTTTGCAATCGCGTCACGCATCTCACTCGAGATGTGTGCCCTTCCCCAGGGCGAATTTAGGGAATACACATCCCTTTGTGCACGCTGCGAGTTGTCAACACAACTCGCACAAGGGTCTCCCCATGTGAGGCAAGGAATGCCTGCCTCACTCGACAAACAGTGCAACCGGTACCTAGCACCGGTTGGCGTTCGCCTTTCGAACCTGAGACGTGTCGCCTCAAATTTCTTGAGCCACCCTTCTCGTCCAAAATTCTTTACGTTTTGGACGAACGCATTCCACGCAGCCAAAAGCGATGCTTTGTCACGCTTTTGGTTGCTGTTGTACCATCGATGTCTAAGAAAGACATCGAGATAAAATTCTTCTTCAGCGCGAAAGTTCTTCGCGCTGAAACTCAAGCCGTGAAGCGCAGTTGCATCGAATAAGGGTATTCGATGGTGTTGGCTTGTCTCGTGAGACAAGCTATTGATGAGCCGTTCGGGCAAACGCCAAGTCTTCGATTCATCACGCTTTACAGTGGTACCCTTGTCGGTACCACGGCTCCCTGGTTGACGACGGCCCACGCCATCGTCATCACGCTCGTGCGAAGACGCACGAGCCGGTGATGGTTAGGAATAATATTTTTCACCGCTCTGATCATCGTCATCACTGCCGAACAGACTGTAATGAAAATCACGAGTCCGTTCGTTCGGCAGTAGCCTTGGCGAACACTGAGGCGTTGCCGGTGAGCGAGACGCCTCAGGCGCATTGCCCGAGTCAGACACGCCTGACTCGCCAGAATAGATGACCTCTACGTTTGAGGTCATCGTGCGCACGCGGTGTGATACCGCGTGCACCTGCAGCACCTGTTGCTGCAGGCCGAGAAGGAGCAGCAGACGACATATCGTCTGCCGCAGAGACTGGCACAGCACCGGGCTGTGTGGGTCTATGAGTCACCTCGCATAGACATGTTAACTATGCGAGGTCAAGCGGAAAGTGAATGGAACGGACCCAACAAGTGCTCCCTGTCCCAATGGTGGCCAACGGGTGGCCGCCATATTTTCGATGGTCACACGGTGACTATCAGTTAAGGGGGGGTGATGTAACGAGGCAGCCCGTTACATGGAATTGTCACTTTAAGGAAGTGACAATAAAGAATATGAAGTTGAATATTCTTTGAACAATATAACCAAAGTGGTGATATTGAAGGGTCGACCAAAGAGTCTGTTCATTGGTTGATATCTTGATGATATCAACCCACCAATCGCCGCAAGACGCGCGCAATGAGTGGTGAGTAGACGTCGTTATACATTCAGTTAGATTAGTATAGTTAAGTTAAGTCAAACTGAGAGACAGTGGTTAAAGACTTAATTATATTAATATAACAGTTCTGCTTTTACCCTACCTACGCTTCCTCGCTTGCCTTGTGTACGTCTGTCGGGGCACCGATACCCTTGCGTGAACTTAACGCAAGGGTGTGCCCCGTTACAGATCCCGTGCTGTTGCATCGATCATCACGTCACGTTTACTCGTGCCATCTTACCCATCAAAACGTTGCCTGCTGTCCGCCATACGCAACCCATCAAAATGTTGCTTGTTGTCTGCCAGTACTCGGTGTAGCAACCTAATATAGGCAATTTCTTGATGACACCATACAAGAATCACGACGGTGTTCTACTGACTCTCGATGGACCGCCACCACGTTCATTTCGGATCCACCTACTCGCTTTTTCACATGTTCGAAAACGACTTGCAGCTCTTCGTACACTTGCACAATAAGAATGTGTGAAGAGCGTCAGTTCGAGCACGAGAAGCCAACGCTTCATCTTGGCCAGCCACAGCCCATTATGGCATCGGTTTCGTACGCGCCAGTTGACTAACGACCTGCTCGTTTCAGTCGTTGGACGACCGGTTCTCTTTGTGTGCGCCACACACCCACACACCCACCCACATACCCACTCACACACCTACCGACATACGCCCCTCCCCTTCTTTGCAGCTGCCTCCTCCCCAGCAGTCCGTCCGTCCCATAATGCAAACAACCGCTCAGTCGAACAGTCAATCGCTCGCCCCCCAGTGCCGTCCCCCGCGTTCACGATGCTCCTCAACACGGCGCTGTTCTATATGATGCTCACGGAGGCCGCCATCTGCCTCGTGCTGAGCCTCCCGGTCGGCCAGTGGCTGTCGCACGCCGCCGTGTCGTTCCTCATGCGCGCCATCGGGCGCAGAGACTCACTGGCCAACACCGTCGCGACGGTCGTCCTCGCGCTCGTCTCTCTGCTGTTCCTCTGTACGCATCGCGTCTGGGAATGGCCTACTAACGACGTCAAGTGGTCTACTAACGCCGTCCGCTGTCTCTCTTCCCTCTATGTCTTTGTGTGTGCTCTCTCTCTCCCTCTCCCTCTCTCTCTCTCTTTCTCTCTGTGCTGCTGACGGCGCCTTTGGCCCACAGCCGACGTGTCGACCGTCTACAAACACCACTCGTCGGACGAAGTGCTGGGCGACGGCCTGCGCGTCCGCCTGCTCACGGCGCAGCGCGACGTGTACATCACGGGCTTCTGCCTCTTTCTCTTTCTGCTGCTGCGGCTCGTGTACATTGCGCTGGCGACGAACCTCCGCCTGGAAAAGAGTCTCGAGGCCATGACGAAGCAGGCGGAGGGAGCGGCCAGTGGTTACACGTCGCTCCTCGAGGATAACGAGCGCCTGACGAAGCAGACGCACAAGTTGCATGCGCTGTTGGACGACGGCAGTGGCAGTGACGACGCTAAGGGATCCAAAGTGGACGTTCTGGCGCGCCTGGTGCAGGAGAATGCCGACCTCGAGGAGCAGGTGCGAGCGGCTGCGGATTAGCGGACAAAGGCGGAGAGTGAGGTGGCGGCCGTGACAAAGCAGGCGGAAGGACAGGGTGCGGCCTTCATGACGCTGCTGGAGGAGAAGCAGATGCTGGACAAGCAGCTCGAGACGGCCGCGTCTCAGCGCAGCCAACTCGAGCGCCAGCGCGAAGAGATCGCGACGCTGACGGCCGAGCGGGACGCGTTGAAGAGCCAGATCCACGACTACGACTTTATGTTTCCCGAGGCCAAGAAGAAGGCCGAGTGAGTTATTGCCGCGTCGTCGGGTATAGCGCGTGCCGCGCAATTGAGTAACAGGACGTGAAGCAAAACGAAGTAAGTTGTGCTGCGTGAAGAGGCTTTGCACCGTGTTCAGTGTTGCACGTGCAGACTGTGTTGTGCAGGTGCTGCAGGCGCGAGATCTCGGAGTATCTGTGCGCTTGCACTAGCAGGTCGCAAGCTGCTAATGCTGCTGACAACGAACGCGACCGGCGCACTATCCCTATATCTGGGCGCTGCAAGCAGTCGGTAGTGGCTTCTTCAACGGCAGCACAAGACACGCCGTGAAGCATCGACACGTCAAGTGGTGACGAGGAGTAACGAGATTCAGAGTCACCGGTTCTTGTGACTGTCGAGCGTAAGCGTCTGAGGATATACATTAAAGATACGGCCACATGACCAGTCGTTTGCACGTGGACAGTCTGAACACGCAGCGCATCGACAGGTACACCCGCAACAGGCGAAAGTCAGTGTGTGAGTGACCCGCAGCCCACTCACTGACACCGCTGTACCTCAGCCGTCTCACACTTCACTGCTATCGGCTCTGCACGCGGCAGATGTCCTTCACAGCGGTTTGTCGGGTACCCGAATGGCCGTTGAGGCGCTTCTTGACCGGAAGGCCGTCGACGTGCTGCGCTTGGCGGACCCCTTGCTGCTGTGTCTTCTGCCCGACGCTACCGGTCGGATCGATGCGTTGCGTTGTTCGGCGCTCTGTGCCGTCCCCACGCGCTCGTCGTTGCTGTCATGTGGCTCCACGAGTCGCTCCACGAGCGACGGAGTGCGCGGCAAACAGCTTTCCGAGTCGATCCAATGCATCAGATGCTGCTCTTGATCAGAGGACGGCCCACGCGACCGATGACGCGCACCACTCGTTTGCTCCACTGCACATGCCGTCCGTTCCTCGCGCGACTGGAGCTGCCGCACCCCAACGTGTGCTGTCTGTGCGGCACTCGACTCGTCTCTCCGACCCCCTCGTGGCCTCCGCTCGCTGTCGTCGTCTGTATCCAATTGCAGTCCCCGCACGTTGTCCACAGCGTCTGCAAGCGCCTTCTCAAACGCGCTCTTCTCCGCCGCGCAAGCTCTTTCGCACGCGGCCACGCGCTCCTGTGCGTCCTGCAGCTCCGCCGCCAACGTGCGGACCGCCCGTGCGAGTTGCAGCTCTCGTTGTCCGCATCGGCCGCAGCGCTTCTGCGCCTCTGCACGTCGCTCGACCTCCAAGACAGCCACCCGCTCGTCCGACTCGATACAAACTGCGTCCAGTCGTTTGCCGATCGGCGCTGTCTGTGAACCGCCCACGACCGCTCTGTCCCGCAGCAGTCCCTCCACTTGCGTCTGCACGAACGCAAACTGCTCCTGCACCGCCTGTCGCTCCAGATCTGCGTCGGCCGCTCGGCGCCGCTCCGTCTGCAGCGCCGCCTGCGTCTCCTCCAACAGCGTCTCCAGCTCCGCCTGCTGCAGCGCAAAAGCCGCTTCTTGCGCGCACATTGTCTGCAGCTGCTGCTGCACCGTTGCGGTCAGACTGCAGAGAGCGGCCACGAGCGTCGCGCGCTTCAGTCGGCGGTCTTTGTGTGCGCGCGACGCAACGAGAGAGCGACTGCTTTGACGCGTCGGAACGGCATTCGCGCGCAGCAGCGGCGGCGCCGTGTGGCCGTTTATGAGGTTCGGGACGTTCGTGTCCATGTGGGGAGGCGGGAGATTTCTGACGGTGACGCTGCAAAGCGCTACTGCTACTGCCGTCGGTGGTTTGCGCTATTCGTATGTGGGTGAGCCCATAGCAGTGCGAGAGCTCGTTTCTTCATGGCCGCAGCCACTGTCCGTGTGGTTATTTATACCATTCGGACTCGGGGCAGTCGGTCCAGCGCGAGGACGCAACGCCGTCTCATGCACTGTGGAAAATAGTAGTGCTCACAACATGAAGTGCGACTTAGACTGTGTTTGGATTGCGCTTTTTTGTAGTTTAGGGATAGCGTCGTGGACTTTTCAGCTGCGATAGCGAGCGACCGATCTGCGTTTGCCGACGGACGCACACTGACATGTTCGTACACAACAGTCGACGTCGATTCGCCATCTCAGTACGTTGCAAGGAAGTGCTCGTTGTGCAGTGCGACTTCATTGTGTGTATCGCGGCGTACTGTGAGAGGGGCAAAGGGCCTGCGATAGGGCCATGTTGTTTTCTCAGTCTTTCACTCAATCAGTCACCTGCTTACTATTGGAGAAGCTCAACAGTTTGCAAGCTCTGAACGACTGACCGACCATTTTTGCATCCCATGTACATCCTACTTTCGTCTGATAGAGCCGTTTGGCACGATGCCCCGCTAGAAAGAAGAAACAGGAACGCGCACTTGTTGGAACAGGAACTTGTCGATTCCCATTTGCCAACAATGGGGGATATGTACCAACCCGCGCACACTGTTCTTTGAGACATTGCCTGCTTTGTGCGAAAAGGAACGATAGGGGTAATGAAGCGCGAAAAACGTTGAGAGTAGAATTAATGCAAGCGTCCATCTGAACCCCGGCCCGTGCTTTCTTTTGACAGCAAATTAGTAGTGGAACCACCTTAATTTTGCGAAGAAGTGACCCCATCAACGACGTTGACATCAGATGAAGGAAAATACCAAATGCATTGTCCCAAACAAATCCGAAGATATGCAGTACGACTAATGGAAACTCACCCTGATCAAACCAAAGAACAAGTACTAGTACTGTAGCACAAACTGGACACAATACGAATAATTGGAATACACAGGAGTTATTTGCAATGAAAAATAATAATACACTTACGTTTAAACGCACAATGATCATATTTCTGGGATCATAAATACATAAACAGCCCGTTCAAAATATCCCGTGTAGTATATGATTAATCAAAGACCAAGGCTAGGGGCACACCCCACTTTTGCTACGGGCTTAGCCGCTCGCCTAAGATGAAAAAATGACTTCACAATTATAGTGCAGTATAATATTGGGCCCCGATAGCTGGATCACACCCTTTTAATAAATGGACCACACACCCAGCGTTTCGCCCCTATCTGACCAATCGAAGCAACGGACGCGTAATTCGGTGCAATATCCATCAAATCATTAAGAGATGGCGGACGCAAGTCCAGGCAGACTTTGTGCTGTTCCGTTGCTTTCATCACGGCAATGTACCGTCATTGTGTCACCACTGTGCTGCTCGTATAGTCGAAGCTTCTCGAGCAGAGCAAATGCACGACAGAGCGCAAACTGTTGTCGACAAATTTGATGCTCGATTCTGCTTGCGAGCACTTTATGGCGACTTGCAATTGACCACTGTCACCTATTAAAGATGCTGCAGCCCTTCTCGACGTTTCGTCGCTATCCTATGCATTAATGCCCGAACCCTATACAAGTTGGGACACAGCGACGCTTTGATTCATGACGGTTTGACTTGAGCTTGACCGGCAAAATGTCGTGTAGTGAGTGCGTAACATACGAATACCACGACCTGATACTTCGTTGACGTGGGCTTCGATACCAAAAGTTCGTACACTAAGCCCGGTCATTAATCAATGCTCACTTGGGCCAGGGGGCTACCGCCAACAAGCGAGTCGCAGCAAAGACAATCGCGTATCGTCAAAATACGATACAATCATCTACATTTAACAGGTGTGTGAAGGTCTCAGCATGCGCTCGAAAATTGTATCACTACTGGTGGACTTTGTTGTCTCCTTCTCCTCATCGACCGTCCGTGACGCACACGACATCATCAACACGTATCGTATATAACTGCTCCCAAGAATCAACTGGCCTTCATTCATCTTTCCACACCACTGCTAGCGCATCCCCTTTTTGCTCCTTCACAATACAACTACTTTTTCTTGAGGTAGACGATACGCAGACACACATTAAGTGCCACTATTTCCACTCTTACGGGTCCATCACTCTTGAGCAGTATCGAGGTTCGAGATCGTGCGCCCAAGGATCTTCATTGCGTTTTTCATGTCGCTTAGCAGATAGTATTTGTGTTGCCGTGATACATTGAGCACATATAAAATCCTACGAGCGTCAGGTCAAAGCCACCACGTTGCATGTTCCAAACCAGAGGCAGACTGTAACGGGGCACTGTTGACTACGTACAGGTTGACCAATGCGGAGTATACTTCCACTGACGACAGTGGTCGACAGTGCCCTGCTAGGTGTTGAAGGAACACAGAGGAAGGAAAGGAGATGAAATAGTCGGACTAGTCTGTTAGTAAGAGTAAAATTGTATTAATATAATTAAGTCCTACAACTTCTTGAATCTCTGTTGTCCTGACTTAGTTATACTTATATAGCGAAATGTATGATGACGTCTACTCACCACCCTTCGCGCGCGTCTAGCACCGATTGGTGGGTTAATATCATTACGATATCAACCAATGAGTAGACCTTCGGTCATCTCAACAATATCACCGTGTCTTGTGATATTGTTAAAAGAAAATTTGACGTAATATTCTTTATTGTCAGATTGTTTTGATGACAATTTCATGTAACGGGCTACCCCGTTACACAGACTGTAGAAGGTCACGTTACTTTTCACTTACCATTTGTACGTCAATTTGATGTCTCACCTCCCATTGCTGGAAAACGAGACCGCTTTACCAAGAATGTCGCCAATCGCAGAATGAGGGCCCGAAAGGGACGAACACGACATGATCAAACGTCTGTACACGCTTGTCAAGACTTACAATATGATGCGACGTGTGCTTACTTGTATCCGATGGAGTCCAACGAGCACGCGATGCCTTCGTAAGAGCTCTATTAAATACAAGTACCAGCTTGCCAGCCATGCCTTCAGTCGGAAGCGTGTATTTGGATACTGGACCGCGGTCGCGTTCCAGAGACGCGATATTAGCGTCCGTATGATCAACAAACGACGTCATCTTAGTGACCAGCTGAACGTATGCACAAGTCAGTGTCTAGCTACTGCATCTAGCCAGCTCGAATTGCACGACGATACTCCGTCATTTCGTAAAAGGAGACAGACGCACGTCACCTGCAGCGTTGTCTTATGGTGGACTACAGCAGATAGAAACATTCACATTAAGTTGAAACACACAACCGAATCTCGTCAGATCGTCATTCATTGTACATTTGATTGAGTCCATTGACTGACAATTTGGTGCGCGTAGGCTTCTTGGTCGACGAACACGAGTAGTAACATGCAACCTTTTCCACTGGTCCAAACGCCTTGTAAAAGTACTCTTGTATCAGATAGACATAACACTGATTACGAGTATGTTGCTTCTGATAGGTCAGATAGAGAGGGACACGCTGGGGTGTGGTCAATATATCAAAAAGGTGTGGTCGAGCTATTAAATCTTATAATATGTAAAATACTTCGTCACTTACTACTGATCCCTATCTCCCTGTCTTATACGGCAGACCCATTCATGCGCGAGTATCTATGTATACATCTTGGCCAGGGCAGTGTTCAGACGGGCAATGTCTTCTATAATCTCTATTGTATCGAACATGGTATCCAATTCGATGGTAAGATGACGAGTAACCTGACCATCGGCAGTGGAAGCGACTAGTTTGCGACGATTGTTGCCAAGACAGGCACAGAATACCGCGTACCGCGTGCAGTATTTGCGGACCTTGAGGCTACCGTCTGTGAGAAGGTACGTACCGTTACATAACGTTAAGGGTCCCACCCCAGCCAGGTCATTTTGAATAAGAAAATACAGAAATCAATTACGCACGAGGTCTTGCATGAACATGCTAGAGACCGTCGCTAATTTTATGACTGTTCTGTAGGTAGCGCCACGATCGCACTTGTAGTAGACCTGGTGTAGATCCCACCTTGGTTTTTGTGATCTGGCGGCGACGATGGCCTACCCCCGAGAAGCCGCAAAGCCATCGAGGTCGACTTCATTATGTTCCCGGAATGAAAGCTGGTTTCAATGAGAGCGGCAGGTGGGGATTGGAGATGTGTGGCGTCGGTTGTCCCTCTCTTGGGCCTTCCTACGCCGGTACAGGAGTCCAGATGGTTGTTTTAACTATCCGGTGTTTCCTGTCGTGTTGTATGAGTATGAGGTAACATAGGCGCAAACTCGCGGCCAAGACAGGTGTTTAAGACAGGTTCTGTTTGTTTTGCAGTAAGGCATATCCCCTTCTCCACCTCCACAGCCCTAGTCCAAACACTTTTAGCAATTCGGTTAGGTGCCTTTACATACAATTGTACAGTTCTGTACACGTACATTATTCTGCACTATATAATGTAAAGTCCTTAGTATCAATTTAGGTAGGCGGGTGTGCCCGTAGAAATCTATGAGGTGTGACTCTGTTCGTGGCCTTATTTTAAAACGTTTGGGACGGTGTAATTAAGCAGTCATTTTGATCTTACATATTAATTCGGCGTTTGCGAAGCCTAAAATCGTCGGTTCACCACTCTTTGAAAACGATGAGGACTACAAAAAGTAGATGTGTGCGATGTTAGGCATGGTCACATTTTAAAAGCGAGGAAAAAAATAGATCTTAACTATAAATATATTGTGGGCTAAAAATTGTGTATAACACTATTTAGGAACACGCCTTCGTAGAGTGGACTCATAAGGCGGTGCTCTACAATGGGGGTTTGGTAACGGGGCACGCTCTAACCAGATGACTGGTAAAACATTGTATGAACAAGCACATGGCTGCGTCCTCTCGACGTCACGTACACGTGGCGTGAGAAA